CAGCCACCCGCTCAGCCGCAGGAGTCTGTCCTACTTTCCAGTCTGAGGAAACCGGAGCCCGATGACCAGAAAGGCCACCTCTCCAGGCGGCGGGCACCCTGGTGACAAACAAGAAGCTCCCCAAGTGCCCGGCCCATTCTCTCTCCAGAAACGACTAGTTGACTCATTAATCTCAATGCAATTGAATCAACTCCCAGAACCAGGTAAGATCAAGCCCAGGGTGAAGAAGCAGACGGGGGCCCTCCTGCCGGGTGAGCACAAAACCCCACCCGAGGGGCAAGGAGACCCCACTGGGTCTGGCTCCCCTCAACAACTTCCGGACACGAAACCGGTGGCCTGAGAAGAATTTCCCTGCCCTAGGTGCCCCGCGGCCTCCCGGCAGAACAGCAAAAACCAGCCTTTCTCAGGGCCAGACCCTCCAACTGCCATTTTCGCCACCTCGTCCCTCCTCAAGAACACCTTATCTCTGCCCTTCCCTCAGGCCAGCTTAACTGCCACTTACAAACAAGGATGCCAAACACCCAGGGTCCTTCCCACCTTCCCGTGGTCTAGCACCGAAGTTGAGTGGGACACTCACACCCCACCCTGCCCCTCGAGACAAGCCGAAGGAAGCCAGGGAGGTTCAAGGTCTGCCCCTTGGGACAGGAATCGGGCACATGGCAACGCTGCTGGGAGCAAACAGGATGCTCTGGGCCACCCTGGCTGCTAGGCCACCTGCTACGGGCATGACCCTGAACCCAGACCCCACGCCGGGCGGGCATCTGCTCCCCAGGGCTCAGGGCTGAGATGGATGCGCAGAGGGCCAGCACCTGAGCCTGTGGAGAGGCTGCAAAGGCTCAGACTCCTGCCTGGTCTTAGAGTCCAGAAAAGGACCCAGAACCGCAGACCACTTATGGGCTGGAATTTGTTATAATGAAGCAAAATGTTAAAAACCCCAAGCACTCCAGGCTGACCTGACCCGTCACGCCCCAGCTCACTTTCACCAAGTGGACCTGGGCGCTTCAAGGCTCAGAGCAGTAGACCAGCCCCAGCCGTGAACGAAGGGCCACATGAGAACCCAGGCAGAATGCCCCTGAGCCACCGAGGACAGAGTCTCCCCTGCCTAAGTGGTAGGAATGTGGACTTCGAGCCCTGACCCGCCCCCTGACACACAAAGGGCCCCCGTCCAGAGCTGGACAGGGACGGGGCACCCAGGCAGATCCCACACACCGGCTGCACAACCTTAAAAAGAACATCTCGGCTCCTGTCTCTGACAGGTGACAAGCAGGGCCGAGATTCCCTCAGGAGTGGGGCGTTCTTTGGCCCCAACCATGTTCTCACAGCAGACGGCCTGGCACGCCTACACCTGCAGGGTCTGTGGGGCAAGCCCCACCCACTTGGCCGCCCATATCCCCCAGGCCTCCCTCCCAGACGCCGCCCCCTCCCCCAGCACGGGGGGCGGGGGGGGGGGGGGAGGCGGGCAGGCGCACGTGGTAACCAGTGGCTCCACAGGAACAGCCCACTGGGGCACAGCCACTCTGCAGGGTAGAAGCCTGGGGGTACGTGGGCCAGTCCACAGTGTGGGGGAGCTCTTCCCAGCTGCTGCCACAGGGCCCCTGCCCTGAAGTCAATTCAGCACCAATAGCAAACGACCACCGCGCCAGGAACAGCGCCTAGAGTCCCCTTGCTTCTTCATTGATAGCTTACACACCAACACCCCTGGCGCCTCATTTGGGGCCCAGCTTATCCTGAACCTGAGGGAGAGGACCAGGCTGCCCTCCCAGTGGGTCCCCCGGTGCACGCACCCTACAGGCTCAGGGCCTCTGTCCTGTGCAGCCAAGACCCCCGGGGCAGGGGACGGAGGAGACAGCCCCTGGAAGAGGTGCTCCGGCTGAAGCGGCCCCCAGAGAAGCAGGGGGAAGGTCCCCGTGCCAATCACAGCACTCCGGATGAAGTCCCTCTCCCTCCTCCCGCCACCAATCAGGTTTTATCTGCAAGAAGATCGGGACAAGCGGTGTGCAAAGACAGTCCGCCTGGGAAAACCGAAACCAGCCCAGGCACGGCGGCCACCAGACCAGAAACCAGCTGCTACCTGCTCCTCAGGACACCTGGCCACCTACGGGGCTCAGGACACACGGCCCGAGGGGGGACACTCTGCCCCCGCCGTCCTGTTTCTCTGAGCAAAAATTATCTGAACAAGGACAGCCTCAGAACCAGCCTGGAACTACCCCAGAGCCCCCTGAGATTCTCTGGTCCCGCCCCCCCCCCCCCCCCCCCCCCAAGGGCCAAACGACCTCCACCACCCCCCCCCCCACACCGAGGACAGAAATCCCGTCACCCTGCCGCGCATCCCACCTCCAACCGCAAGCCGTTCTGAGCTTGAGGGCAGGGCAGGGGATCCAGAAATCAGACTGCTGAGGGGCCGCCCACCCCCCGCCCGAGGCAGGCTGTCCAGCCTAGGAGCAGCAAGCCGGGCAGCCCATGGTGGGAGCGGGCGGAAGGAGGAAGCAACGTCACAAGCGCCTACCTTTGTACCAACTGCTATGTCTGGGACGATGCTGCGGAGAGAAAAAAGGAGACGTCAGCCAGGGCGCCCGCCACATCCCGGCGCCCGAGCCCCCGCTCGAGGCCTTCGTCAGCTAGAAGGCCGGGGCAGGGAAGCGAGCCGTCCGCCCTTTAATCGCCACTTGAAAAGGAGCCATCATTGTCCTCCGGCTCCCTCCCGGCAGGACCCCGGCCCCGCCTCCCGACCCGTCCAAAGACAAAGACACCCCCCTCCACAGGCCCTAGGAGAGACACTTGATGCTGGTTAAGGTTCAGGTGCTGCTGTTTGCTTTCTAGAAACTGGCAGTGCTTGGGGGACGTTTCCAGCAGAAGGCAGGCCGGTAAAAAGGCAACTCAAGGGCCCGAGATCAGAGCTCCGGGCCCCACGGGGCCGAGAAGGGGGCAGCTCGGTGGAAAGGATCAGATAGAGCTGACACGAGTTACTCATCAACCGGGCTCCACGTGAGCGGACTTTCTCCCCCCCCCCCCCCCCCCGCAGAGCAGGCCCCGCTACGAAAGGCGGGGCCGGGGGAGAGCACAGCTGCCCCGGACTCCTGGGTCCTGCAGCCCAAGCCCCACCCCCCACCCCCGGACAGCAGAACCCTCCGAGGTCGTCTATGTAGTGAACAGAAACTGACAACAAACTAACGACTCCCAAAATATCAGTTCAGGAGAGAACTTAGCCAGCAACGCCCCTCACAAGGTCACCTGGCCTCCAAGGCCTGGCGGTCCCGTGACCAGAACCTCTCATGATGTCACACAACATGTCCCCCGGCCCAGCCTCGGGCCCGGCAGAGGGCCCCGGGGCCGCCGGCTGCAGGATCCCCCTCGGGCTCTCAGGGAGGGGGCTCCCACCACAGCCTCGGCTCGGGACCTGCCCCATCCTCACCCTCCGCCTCTACGGCGGAACCTCCACCTCTTGCCCTCAAAAACCTCACAGGCCAGCGACAACGACTTTTAAAAATTTTAATGAGTCAAGAAAAAACTTCCCAGAAAGACAAACAATGAAAAGTACGCAGTTTCCCAACTGCTAACCCAGGCCGCCTGGCGGCTTCCTACTCCCAAGCGAGGGCTTCGGACACATCAAGTATTTTACGTAAAACGGCCTTTCTGGGAAAGATTTTCCGACCTTCCAAAAAGACGGCAGGCCAGTGCTCGCTTCGGCAGCACATATACAAAAAGACGGCAGACCAAAAAGGAGCTGCACCCGGAGACCAGGCCCGGCTGCCTAGGTAACACCACCACCGCCAAGAGACTGCAGATGCGCCCCCAAACCAGATTACGGGGGGCGATGGAAAAGACAAAACTCGAGAATTTGACCAGACGGCCAAGAAAACCGAGCACACGGCCCGCTGGCTCGGGAAAGGGTTCTCTGGGCAAGTCCACCCCAGCCAAAGCGGAAGGCAGACCACGAGGAGATCAAGTTCCTCTTGCTGCAGCAATTTTTCTAAAAGGTTGGCCTCAATTCAGGTTGAAACCTATCATTTCAAACCCGAGACACCGAAGGCACGTGACCCTCCGAGCACTTTTAACCGCCCGCCCCGCCCGGTCGGGCCCAAGAGAGAAAGGAGAGCTGGTTCGAAGCACCCCACCACAAAATACCCGCAACTGCCCCTGGACGCTTCCCACGGGGTGCCAGACGGGAGAGCGCAGTTCCACCGGGTTCCACCCCTTCCCGAGAACAGAGCCCCGGCCGCCGCGCGGCCCGGTCCCCTCCCGCCCCGACACCTCGGCACGCGGGGAGCGGGCTCGGGTCCCGAGCCGCCCCGCCCCCACCGCGCCCGGGGCGCTACCCCGAGACGCCGGGCTGGAACAAAGGGGGCGGCGGAGGGCCCGCGCCCTTCCGGGCAGGAGGGCGGCGTCTCCGGCCGCGCCCGGGCCCGCGGCGGGCGGGGCAGGCCGGGGCAGTCCGCGCGGCGGGAAAGCCCGCGCACGCGCGCCAGAGCTGCCGGGAGCGCGCGAGGCCGCGCACGCGCGCGGAGACCATACGGGGCGCGCGGAGACCATACGGGGCGCCGGAAGGGCCACAAGACTCTCCAAGGGCGGCGCGTGCGCGCAGAACCCGGACGGGAAGCGAGAAGAGCCGCGCGGCCGCCGCGTGCGCACGGGACAGGCCTCGTTGGCACCGGAAGCGGGCAGGGCTCCCCCGGACCCCCGCCGCCTCGCGCCCCTGGCGGCCCCCTCCAGGGCCTCACCCGCGCCCCAGGCCGGGGGGAAGGGAGGGAACCGGGCGGCGCCCCGGGCCCGGGGTGGAGGCGGAGCGGCGCGCCAGGACCGTCGCCCCGAGGAGGCCGCGGCGGCGACGAGAAAGAGACTGGAGCGCGAGAAGGACACGGGGTAGAGCGAACGAGTACTACTCACCCGTCCATTGCACACACAGGAGACCCGCGGGGGACGGAGTGGAGGCACCGGAATAGCAGGAACCGACCCAACGGCTCTGAGTTATAGACTCACAAAATGGCGGAGACGCCCGAACACGTCCCCCGCGCGCTCTGCCCATTGGCTCCTGCCGCGCAGATGGGCGGGGCGAGCGCCGCGGGACCCCGCCAGCGCCTCCCAATGGCTAGGAAGTCGCTCGAGGGGTGGGGCCACAAACAGTGGCAGGCGGCCATTGGGGAAGATGGCCGTCCGTCAGGGCTCGAGGCGGAAACGGCCCGTGGAGTCGGGGGAGGGGCGAAGAGGTGAGGCCACGTGATTGCGCCAGAGCCAGTGAGCGAGCTGCCCTCCTGCGTGGGGCTTTGCTGGAGAAGCCATCTTAGGAGTGGGTACGTGGCGGGTCAGGCGGTGGGAAGCGTGCTTCCCCCAGGCTGCCGCCATCTTGCAAACGGGCAGAGTCCACCTCCACCTCGGGCGTGAGAGCAAAGGGAGGCGCGTCGCCATCTTGAAGTAGGGCAGGAAACCTCCAGGGCGCCACCTTGCTTGTGGGCACCTGGCCGAAGTCCATTTCGAACTTAGACGTTACCCTTAGGTTAGCACGCGAAGTGGCGGCGGCCTAACGCGTCCCAGAGGCGACGGGGTTGTTTCCACTGCTGGCCACCAAGCGTGTGGCACGATGTGGCCACGGGTCGCCCCTGACTGTCCTTTGTTTGCCCCAGAGCAGCGAAGCCCGACCACGGTTTCCTCGCCTGACTGCAGGAATGGGAAAATTGAAGCCCGGGGGGGGCACGGCGGACGCCGCCCTGCCTGCCTGCAATGGAAGGAAAATGAGGCCGGGGGCGCACGGACAACACCGCCGTGCCTGCCTGCAATGGGGGGGAACTGAGGCTCGGGGCGCACAGAGCAGACTCCGCCGTCAAAGGACGTTCAGGACTGGACGGGCCTCCATCCCACCAGCAGAACACTCCAAACTTATGTCGGAGAATGCTGATTCCAAAAAGAGTTGAACAGGGTTGTGGGTGATAGGGGAACCCCGGGAAAGGTGCCGGAAAACAGGGCCAGCTGGGTGGGGCGAGTGGGGGGAGGGGCAGGCGGAGTCAGGGCGGCCGCGGCAGTCCGGTACCCCAGGCTTTTGGAAGCATCCAGGAGATGATGGGCATGCCGGGCTTGCTTGTTCCCAGCGTGGAGCAGACGTTCAATAAATAGAAGAAATTATCCTGAATATTGTTTGCTATACGTCTCGTGCAGAAAAAAGGATTTTTAATTGGCACAAGCCTAAAGAGGGAGAATGACACTTGTTGTTTCCGTAAGTCGAGGTCAGGCCTTTGCTCCCGCCTCTCCGGTCGGTTTTAGCTTGGGCGGAGTCATGGCAACAGCGTCCATTTTAGGGCCGCGCGGGCCTGGACGGAGCCCAGAGACCGGGGCTGCCGAGCCAGAGGGCTTTCTCGGATTAGGGGCGGCTGCCGATTTTCACGGAGGCCTCCGCCTTGCACTCCTTGGCCCCTTCTTTCGCCGAAGGCCATCTGAAGCCCAGGAATGGCTAATCAGGAGTGTCCCGGTGGATTTAGGAGAATCCCCAACGCATTCCTGTGGATTTGCTCCCTCCAGGACTCCTGTCGCGCTCCGCTCTGGGTACCACCAGGGGCAGTTGCTCATCTTTGTTGCCTAGGTTACTGGTGCCAGGGATGGGCCCTCTTGACAGCAGGGAGGATGGTTGGAGACATGGGAGTGTCGCAGCCCAGAGGGAGAATGTTGGTGGACCCTCCACCAGGTTCCTAGCACGGATCTAAATGGTCGCAATCTATTAAAAGCCATTTCTGCTCACTGCCCTCCAGGCTTTGCTCAGAGTCAAAGCCCAAGTCGACCTCGTGGCCCCACAGACCTCTCACCCGCAGCCGCCTTTCTGGTTTCTGACCGCATTTACACAGGCCTCCTTTAAGAGGTTGTTCCCTTCTGGAAGGTTCCTCCCTAAACCCACTCCCTCCTTTTACTCCCTGCCCTGGGGCCTTCGCGCAGAGGCCCCCTCGTCAGTACAGTCTCCCCGACCTCTCCCTTAAAACGGTTGAGGATTTCTTTCTCGCCTTCCACTGGAACACGAGGGAGAGAAGACAGCCCCTGCCCGGATCGGAATCCACGCTGTTACCACCTTTACAAGGGCCACAAACCAGGCGGCGTGAAACAACACAGATTTATTCTCGCTCGGTTCTGGAGGCCAGAAGTCAGAAATTGAGGTGTCAACAAGGCCGAGCTCCCTCCAGAGGCTCCAGGGGAGGGTCCTTCCTGCCTCTTCCGGCTCTGGGGGCCCAGGTGTCCTTGGCTTGTAGACAGGTCCCTCCAGTCCCTGCCTCTATTGTCACATGGTTCTCTTCTCCCTGTTTCTCTGTCTCTCCTGTTTGTGACTCTAAAAAGGACCCTTACCCTTGGATTTAGACACCACCGGGATAATCTCATCTCAAGGCCCTTAATCTCACCTGCAAACACCCTTTTCCCAAACAAAGTCATGCTCACGGGTTAGGGGATTAGGATGCAGACACACCGTTTTCGGAGCTGTTCGTCAGCCCAGGACAGCACCTGGACCCTGGACCAGCCATGAAAGACTGCTGGCAGACCTTCCATGTCTGCAAGGGGGGGGGGGGTCCAGGGAGCCCCCAGGCCCTGCATCTCAGTTGGATGGATGCCCTGGTTTATTGGAGAAACCCGGCTCCCCTGTCTGTCTGCTCCCTGCTCAACCCTTCTGCCCGCCGGCCAGCTGGCTCCCTCATCAATGATTTAGGGTGAACGTGGGTGTGTGATCCCCTTGCAATTGAGAATTTTGAAAAGGATATCTTCTGTGGCAGGGGCAAGGGAGGTGGGTGGCAGCCAGATGGGGGTGGAGGGCCAGCATCCCAGGCCCTGGCGGGGGCGGGTGGGGGGAAAGGCTGCTGGGTTTTATTTCTCTTTACAGATCTGATGGGGCTGCCTCAGTTTACCCCTTTGTCAAAATAAGGGGCAGGGTTAGGCCAGTGCCCCCTTCCTTCCCACGGGCTTTCACTAGTGTTTCAAATGGAAATGGCTTAATAGTCTCGGAATATTTGTTCCCTGTGTTTGTTTATTCATTGCCTTGAATACAACAGCCGTAGGGCCTGGGTCCAGGGTGGGTGGGGGCCTGGGTTCCACATCTCCCCTCCCCTCAGAGGCCTCCTAGCCTCTTTGACCCATTTTCCAGATATCTGTGGGACTGAGCTGGGGGTAGGGGGTGCCAAAGAGGCTACCCTGCAGCCCCTCCAAGCTGGAGCCCCCCCACCCCACCCCTTGACGGGGGTCCTTGGGCAACAGCTGACTCCACAGCCCCAGGCCCTCAGGCCAAGAAGCAAACCTTATCTGCCCAAACCAGCAAGCCAGCCTCTCCCCGAAGGACCCACTGTGTCCCCAGGCCCTGCCCGGAGAGGGAGCTGTCTCTCTGCCCTAAGTGCCTCCACACCCACCGCCCGGTCCACACCCTTGGGAGCTCAGCCTGGGCTGGGTACCTCCCTCCAGGCTCCAGTTTTAAGTCTTGGATCCTCTGAGTAGGAAATACTATGTTTCCTTTTCCCAAGCCCAGAGAGGCTGGATGAGCTGCCTGGGCCTCTCAGCCAGGAAGAGGCCCCCCTGTGGTTTACCCAGGCTGCTCCGCCTTTACGGGGGCAGCAAGGAGGGTGAGCAATAGTGTGGCCGGTCCTCAAATGGTCAATGTAGAGTTACCACCTGACCCAGAGATTCTCCTTGGTATCTGCCCAGCAGAAATGAAAACACACGTTCACACAAAACCTGAACATGCACGTCCACAGCGGCACGATTCACAACAGCCCAAAAGCGGAAACAACCCAGGTGACCATCGACAGGTGAAGGATAAACACCACGTGTCCCTCCACACAAGGAAAAGTCACTCAGCCACGCAAAGGGGCGAAACACCGACACTCGCTGCAACGTGGACGGACCCTGAGAACACGATGCTCAGTGAGAGAAGCCAGACGCAGAAGGACACACAGTGTGTGATTCCATTGATGGGAAACGTCCAGAACAGGCAGATCCACAGGGACAGAGAGTGGATTCCTGGTTGTCAGGGGCTGGGAAGTGGTTGCCAACGGCTGGCGTTTCTTCCCCCGTGATGAAATGTTCTAAAATTGATCGTGATGATGGTTGCACAACTCTGTGAATAAACTGAAAAACCACTGAACTGTGCACTTTAAAAATGGATGGGCAGTGTGGTTATGTGAATTATATCTAATAAAGCTGTTTTTAAGAAATCATTAGGATGAAGACCGGAAATGCCAGCTTTGGCAAGGATGGGGCAGGGGGAACTCTAAACGCCGCTGGGGAGGGGGAAGCAGTGCAGCTGCTTTGCAAAACAGCTTGACAGTTTCTTGAAAAGTTGCCTGTATGCCTCCCCTAAGGCCAGGCACTCACGCTCCTGCATGTTTACACAAGAGAAACGTGTAGAAATAGTCAACAAAAGCCTGGACAAGAATCTCCATAGCAGCTTTAAAAAGTACGGAACAGACAAACACTGGAAAGAACGGAAGTGAGCAGTGCGCAAAGGATGGAGACGTGCTGTGCGGAGGGTCTCCGGCACGGGGGAATCCACGCGGCAATGGAGAAGCACAGAGACCAGCCGGGTAGACCTCTGTTCCAAGTATACAAATGTAGTCCAACAGCAGGCAAAATGCACCGACAGTGCCAGAAATTGGGATAGGGCGCTCTTGGGGGTCAGTGGCTGAGAAGGGCAGGTGGGGGGACCTGGGGACTCACGGGAGTTCAGTTCGCAAAATGCTTTGTGATTGGGGTGCTTTCCTGCATGTAAATCGCAGCTCAGTAGAAAGTCTGCTTAGAAAATCCTGTTGATTCTCATCATTCTCACACTCAGGGTCTGTGAAGTCACAGCAAACACTGGGTCGGGAAGCACGGAACCCCGGCTCCTGGGGGAAATGCGGGTGAGAGTCCTGCCAGCCTTTGGTCACAACAGTGTCACCAACCCGTCACACATACCTTGTGTCCCGCGAGTTTCTGTCTGCAGCCTCCTTATTTAACATATATTGATTCAGTAGCCAGCAGGGCTGTAGAGCAACTTACGGCAAATACTCGCATTTTATCCAAAAGGCACATCACGGCTTTCTTGTGCTCAGGGACACTTGGGGGCCAAAATCACCCACAAAAAGCACTAAATGTAAAAACTTTTAGTGCCCACCTGCTCACCGGCCACAGGACATCTCTGTGGTCACAGGAGGGGCCAGCGGGCCAGCCTGGGGGACAGCTGTCTCTGGGCACTTCTTTCTGCTGCACCTCTTTGCGGGGCCAGAGCCCCCCCTTCCCAAATGCCCCTCGCGGCTTCTCAAGCCCCACACATGCTGTGGCCGGCGCTGGGCACAGAGCTGAGATTCAGCCACACTGCGGGTCATCTCCCTGCTTCGGGACGTGCGTGTCGGGAGAGGTAGTAGAGGACGGAGCAGGGCCCTGCAGGGACCGGAGGGGGATCCGGGAGGGCTTCCTGGGGGAGGTGTGTCAGATGTGGTGAGCAGAGGGAATGGCACTGAGGGAGGAGAGGGTCTTAGGGTGAGGCGGGGGCTGGCTGGGCTGCCCATGGATTCAGGGTGGGCAGCCACGCAGCGGGGGTGAAGCACCCAGACACGTCGTGTACCCCTGACCGAGGGAGTGTCCCGGGGGGTCGCCAGGCACTGAAGCTGCCCCAGTGCAGGAACAGGTGGGGATGGGGCCTGGACCACCCTCCCAGGCTCTCTACCTCTGCAGAGCAGCCAGGAAAGCTGCAAACATTAAAACAATTTTTTTTTTTTTTTGCGGTACGCGGGCCTCTCACTGTTGTGGCCTCTCCCGTTGCGGAGCACAGGCTCCGGACGCGCAGGCTCAGCGGCCATGGCTCAAGGGCCCAGCCGCTCTGCGGCACGTGGGATCTTCCCGGACCGGGGCACGAACCCGTGTCCCCTGCATCGGCAGGCAGACTCTCAACCACTGCGCCACCAGGGAAGCCCAAAACAATTTTTCAATTGAGATAAAATTCATACTATAAAACTATACATTTGAAGAGTCCAATTCAGTGGCATTGAGTGGCCACTGAACAGCCATTGTTGTCTAACCATCACCTCTATCTAATTCCAGAACATTCCATCACCCCAAAAAGAATCCCATCCCCATCAGCAGTCATCCCCACCCCCTCCTCCAGCCCCTGACAACAAGGAGCCCACTGTCTGTTCTCTTTGGACTTGCCTGTCCTGGACATTTCCCATCAGTGGAATCACACCCTGTGTGTCCTTCTGTGTCTGGCTTCTCTCACTGAGCATCGCGTTCTCAGGGTCTGTCCACGTTGCAGCAAGTGTCAGTGCTTCACCCCTTTTCACGGCTGAGTAATATTCCTGTGTGTGCATATGTGTATACACCACATTTAGTATTCATACGTCAATGGAGAGTCGTTTTCCCCCCCACTTTTCTGCAGTTGTGAGCGTGTGTGTACAGGTTGTTGCATGGACGTACGTTTTCGTTTCTCTTGGATAAATCTGTGCTAGTTTCCAGCAGCTGCCGTAATGAATGATGCAGATGGGGGCCTGAAACAACCAAAGTTTATCCCCCTGCAGTTCTGGAGGCCAGAAGTCCAAGATCAAGGATTCAGCAGGGCTGGTTCCCCAGGTCTCTCTCCTGGGTCTGTCAATGGCCATCTTCTCCCTGTGTCCTCACGTCGTTGTCCCTAATCTCCCCTTTTTATAAGGACACCAGGGATTAGGTATCATGTTGGATTAGGACCCATGCTAATAATCTCATTTTAATTCAGTCACCTCTGTAAAGACCCTGTTTCCAATAAGAT